CACTGTGCGTCTCCCAGGTGGGGGCTGCTGGTGCAGAATGGTCACTGTGCGTCTCCCAGATGGGGGCTGCTGGTGCAGAATGAACACTGTGCGTCTCCCAGGTGGTTGTTAGACCCTGAGCTCTGGAGACAGTGTTGTTGCTCCTCTATGATCTTTTACTTGGGCTTATTTACTCATTAGTCTTACAGATCTAGGCCACATCTGAAATACTGCATCTGAAGAACAGAATTATATCATGGACTATCAAACTGTGGGACATAGCTTTTCGGCTTTTCTAATGACTAATTTTCTAATATCATTTAATAGATCTTATTCTATTGAACATCTGTAAGAATTTGTGGTGATTATGTACTTACACCACCTCCTGGCCAAAATATCTGGAGCTTCCTACTGAAATCTGGGAAAACTAGTGGAAGGATTATTTCAGTCACACACACCTATGGTACTCAGCTGTAGGTGATCCTGAATGAGATAATGGCTTTGGTCGTGATGCTCCTGATATTTTGGCCACTTGGTTTAGTTAGGCTGAAAGTGAAGGGTTCTCCCTTAAACATTTCCTCTCTGCACAGGGATGGGGGACATGGCTGTTTCGAACTCCATCGGTAGCAATATATTCGACATCCTGCTGGGACTGGGCTTCCCTTGGGCCATGCAGACTCTTGTGGTAGACTACGGCTCATCCGTAAGTGGCTTTCTCTCCCCAGGCAAAACCAAACGATTGCTGTTTGACAGGCATGACTAATCGCCGACAGCACGGGCTGTGCGTGATCAAAGAGTTTTACAGCTGATGTGCCTGTGCGTTTCCTGGGCTCGACACGCAATCATGTGTTTCCAAAAAACTCGCGGCTTGTGCTTAACGGCGCAGCTTGCAGATGGGATCTCTCAGGGAACTGTAAAGATTAGAGCTGCAGTAAACAACAGGATTCTTTCTGTCCCTGTGTACTCTCTAGCTCTTTCTCTGTTGCAGGTCTTCATAAACAGCAAAGGGCTGCTGTACTCAGTGATCCTGCTGCTGGCCTCTGTCTTTCTCACTGTGAGTAGTGTTCCTGCTACCCCAGGCTGTGCAAGACTCTTCCATGATGGTGTTGAGGGTTTTCCAGTATAAAGGTGTTATCTGCCATCATTAAACCATTAATAATCCCTGTCCTAAACAGAGAGAAAAGTAAATTAAGTTATGAAACTAAGAGGAGGTGAATCTAGGAGAGAAAACAGGAGGCATCACTTTCCACAAAGAGTTGTGGGGCTGTGGAGCAAGCTTCCTAATCAACCTGTTGTTCCTCCAAGGATTCATGCTGATGGGGACAGCGTTTAGTACAAGCCTAGCCCTTACCCTAATTCTAACCCTAATCTTAATGCTAACCCTAACCCTAAACCTCACTCTAATCCTGAACAGGTTGGTGGACTAGATGGTGGAGAGCAGAATCAATACCCACCTCTCAGGGCTAGTTTAGTGCTGTCTAGCGCTTCCATCGAGAGCTCAGCCTAAGTACAAGCTCCTCCTCCCATCCACTGAGAGAAAATCACTGATCCCTCATGCAGGGTTTAGAAGCCCAGACACCCAGACGCCAGTCCATCACAGGGTGCCCACAAACACACCAAGATGCCAATCGCCTGCGTGTCTTTGGGCTAGCAGGAGGAAACCAGAGTCCCTGGAGAAATCCGAGCCAACATGTGGGGAACATGCAAACTCCACACAGAAGCATCTCAGGCCAGAATCAAACTGAATGCCCAACAGATGTGGGGCAGCAATGCTAACTGCTACACCCCTGTGCTGGCCCTTGGTCATATAGTGCCCAGACCTCCAAGGAGCATCTGAATGATGACCTTACGTATTGTCGCCCAACCCAGGGATGTTCCAGTAGCAGAGAAGGGTTTTGCTATGGGGAGGGAGGGTTACTTAACAACGGCTTTTGATCCAGATGTTCCCAGATGTTTTTAGGCAGGGTCGGCCATCCTACAGTCCGTTCCTGCCTCTCCCAGCTGAGGCAGTTCCAGTGTCCAGGTTATCGCACTGGACAGCACCAGAACCCTGCCAGGGACACCTTCGACCCCATTAGGGAACAGAGGGAATGTGGTCGAAGCAAAACTATCTGCCGTGAAAGTATCTTGACATTTCGGCACCTCCTGGATCAATGGTGGCAGGCAGGGGGGCCTCGGGTTCGAATCCGCACCTGTGGGGGGCTGTCTGCGTGGAGTTTGCATGTTCTCCCTGGGTTTCTTCAAGAGCTCCGGCTTCCTCCCACAGTCCAGAGACATGCTGGTGGGTTAATTGGCTTCTGGGAAAACTGGCCCTGGTGTGAGTGTGTGTGGGTGTCCTGTGATGGACTGACGTCCCATCCAGGGTGTACCCCGCCACGCGCCCATTGCTTGCTGGGATAGACTCTCGGTCGACAGTGGGTTTGAATGGGGGAATAAATCAGGCAGCAGAACAGAAAACCAGTTCAGAGTTGGGTGTAATCCATGTATCCCAGTTAATTAAGGAAAAGACTTTTGCTGGCTACTTGCCTGATTCCAGCAGGACAGGGTGTAACACCTGCTGCCTGTCTCTCGTCTGTTCCCAGGTCCTGGGCGTGCATCTGAACCACTGGAGGCTGGATCGGAAGCTGGGGCTGAGCGTCCTCACCCTCTACGCCATCTTCCTCCTCTGCTCCATCCTCATCGAGCTCAACGTCCTCGCCAACCTCCCCGCCTGCCTGTAGGAGGCGCCACCGCGCGCCCCTCCCCCCAGCTGTGCGGCGCCCGGCTCGCCAAAACCGCGACCCAACTCTCCGACTCTCCCCATCCGGCTGTCCGTCCATTCATTCGTTTGTTTTTGCTATCCCGCCCGCCCACGCAGTGACCTCTAACCCGAACAGGCTGAGGTCTGGCCGGAGGCAGAGGTCGCCGGGGTCGAGCCCCGGCCTGCGGGGGGGGGCCCGGCAGCTCCACCTGCAGTCGTTTGATTCTGTCGCGTCAGGGTAGCTGCCCAGACCCCGGTTCACCCTTTTCCGTTCCCAGGGGGCCTGGGGTATGGATGGGGTGGGGGTGAGGAGTCAGAATTGGGGCTTTCTGATACTTGAAGGGGAATGAGGCCAATAAGAACTGAGCTCCGACAAGGCAGTGCTGGGATGAGCAAAGAGAGATACAGAGATGGATATTAATCCAGACAGGGTGACCAGCTCACTGACTGGTTAGGGGCTCCTCAGGAGCCCGGGCAGTGAATCAGAGCTCAGGCGAAGATCTAGGATCTAGGTATGACTGTCCTGAGCCAACACTGGGTCCCCCTCCTCTTCAACAATAAGCCAACCGGCACAGTGATCAACAGAAGAGGTGTCAGTGGGGCCAGCAGGGGGCGCTCACCCTGCGGTCTGTGTGGGTCCTGATGCCCCAGTATAGTGACGGGGGACACTAGACTGTAAACAGGCGCCGTCCTTCAGATGAGACGTAAACCGAGGTCCTGACTCTCTGGGGTCATTAAAAATCCCAGGGCGTTTCTCGAGAAGAGTAGGGGTGTAACCCCAGTGTCCTGGCCAAATTTCCCCCCTGGCCTTTACCCATCATGGCCTCCTAATAACCCCCCTCTCTGGACTGGCTCCATCACTCTGCTCTCCTCCCCACTGAGAGCTGGGGTGTGGGGAGCGGACTGGCGCCTCATCCAGGTGGGGCTGCACACTGGTGGGGGTGGAGGGGACCCCCAGGACCTGTGCAGAGCTCTGAGGGGAGGGTCCAGGAAAGCGCTATATAAGTGTAAGCAATTATTATTATTATCGTCGTCGTGACTTCAGTCTCACAACAGCGGGTGTTTGCAAACTGTGTGGACATGTAACAAAATTGTGACGGATCTCATTTGAAAGAAACAAGCACAGTCAGGCCACCTCCTTTGAGGCGGCTGATATCGAGGGGTGGATATCAATCAAGCTGGTGTAGATGGATACACTACTCAATAACACACACCAGATCAGCAATAAGCCTTCTACCCTTCCATTGTCTTACTGCTTCTTCCAATTCAGGGTGGGGTCTATCCCATCAAGCACTGGGGCACAAGGCAGGGTACACCCTGGACGGGACGCCAGTCCATCACAGGGCGCGCATACACTCACACCAGGGCCAGTTTTCCCAGAAGCCCAGCTTTCCCAGAATGAGCCCACCAGCATGTCTGTGGACAGTGGGAAGAACCCGAAGGAAACACCCAGACCACGAGAGAACATGCAGACTCCACACAGACAGCTCCTCGGGTCCAAAATCGAACCCCGAGCCCCCAGCCCTTTCCCCTTCTAAGTCAATCAGGACGCTTGTCACAGAGCACAGAGCCACGTCCAGCTGAAGGCCTCTGGACGTTCTCAAGATCAGCATGTCGGCAGTTTGCGCTGAGAAATCCTTTGGGGTTTCTAGGCTCCTGTCAAATAAGGATTCTGGTTGAATCACGAGCCAAGGAATAACTTAGAGGTGGGTCGGAATGGAGGCGAGTAGACCCCCTCCACAAAACTCCAGGATTGAGGGTGGGGGGGATGGCAGAGAGAGATTCGTTCTGGACGAATGTCACTGTGACACTCTCCCCCTCGTCCAGTCACTCTCCTGTCGGGCCCTGTGGAGTGTAGAGATGTCACTGAAACACACACCCCCCTCCTCCAATCAGAGCTCACTCTCCTGTCAGGCGCTGTGGAGCCCAATGATGTCACTGAGACCCCCCCCCCGCCCAGTCAGAGCTCACTCTCCTGTCAGGCGCTGTGGAGCGCAGTGATGTCACTGAGAAACGCCCCCTCCTCCAGTCAGAGCTCGCTCTCCTGTCGGGCGCTGTAGAGACCAGCGAGGTCACTGAGACACACCCCCTCCCCCACCTCCTCCAATCAGACCTCACTCTCCTGTCAGGCGCTGTGGAACAAGGTGGCAAATGTCTCTGAGGAGGCAGGCGCGTGAGAGGTGCTTTCTCAGTGTCCAAACAGGTTGTGATTTCAGACAGCAATCGGATAGGCAAATTCCAAATTGTAATTGACTTTAAACTGAAGTCTGCCTATTCAGAAGGTCAAAAAACATAAGCCATCTCTAGCTACAGGGGGATTACAGACATCAGGCACTGGGGGCAGCGTTGAGCTTACTGACAGGAGTCGTGCTGTAATTAATCATCCTGTCCGGGCAGCTCTTCTGACTGGCCGGTCAGTGGTCACCCTGTCTCTGGGCGACGTGTCCCTGCTCTTGGGGACTGAGGGCAGTTTCAAGTCTCAGACTCACGAACCGCGTCTCTCACGAACCGAACAAAAACTTGCACATGTTTAATAAGCATTTCTATAACTCGTGTTTATAATATTTAATACGTGTTTCTATAATTAATGAGTGTCGCCACTTTTGATAACTTGTGTACGGGTTTGCTATGGTTTCACTAGTATTTAATAGTTACGATCAATGTTTTAAGACAAAGACAAAAAAATCGTACAGTATATTTATGAGTATTATAAAGTGAGTGTGTGGAACCTCACCTATCTTTGCTAAATGTTTACTAAATCTTTTACATAGTTTTATAAGTACAAACAAGGAAGAGCACCTAGATTTCTCTGTGATGTATTTTGATATTTTATGACAACCCGATGAGTGTGTTTCCTAAATAGTTTGCCGAAGGATTTTTATTAGGATTCTTTTTTGTTTTCCTTTTTGTAATAGGATGCTTAAAAGAGATTAACCATTTATTATATCTCTCTATACCAATCTACCGCTGCTAAGCTCCACCCCTCTCATCACATATGTAATGAGCACGTTTTCATCCCGTCCAATGGGGAGATAGTGGGGCGGGGTTGTGGCCAGGCCCCTCCCACTGTGATGCAGGCTGCTTTGTTCATTCACATTGTGCTTCACATCCCTGCTACCAGCGTCGACCGGTTCTCTGAAATGACAGCTGTTCCAGAAGCGACTCTAAAGTCGCTGCTGATGGAAAAAGTCTGGTAGGCACGCAGACTGCAGGTGTGTGTTCGTTCTCGTTCAGTGTCCAGCCAGAAAAGATGATGTCGCCTGCTCTTATAAATGATGTTAACTTGTTGTAACCTGCTCCTGGGTCTGATCTTCACTCTTAACGAGACCCCCACCCCCAAACAACAGACAAAACAAAGTGAACTCCCCCCCACCCCTCTCCTGGAGATAAAGCATTCTTATATCTCTGGAGAGAATCCAGAAGGAACGGGCCTGCTATGTGATTTAGCGCTCATCAGCTCCTTTAAAGACGATTCCTGAAAC